TGAGTAATTAATGACAGAATTTTCTTTTTTGGGTGAACTAACCCTTTCAAATGTACACTTTATAGGTGCACTTAAACGTTATATCACCAAATCACACACGGAGTGCACGCACGTTGATTTATTAGTCTATTAAAACAGAATTCCAAATGCTTCTGCTTTTTATATTTATATAATTTAATATGCTAATATCTGCAGAAAAACGGTACTCTTTGTGTGATGTAGATTAACTATAGCATAACACATTTAATAATCATTTTATACAAGTTCAGTAAAGCCATAAGTGACATACATTTTAGACATAATATTGCTTGTATTTGCTCAATTTTGGCAACGAAAATAGTTCCAAACAAAGATCACTGCGCTGTTTTGCATCTCTGAGCAATGGACGGTGTTTACTTATTGAATGAATCAGCTTTATGAACGAATCGGTTGAAAAAATGATTTGGTGATTCACTCATTAACCCAGTCAAATGCTTTGTTCCCGAATGAATCAGCCGTTTGAATGAATCGGTTGAATCTCAATGATTAACAGTCACTTGCTGCCACCTACTGGCGGGTTTAATTTCACACTTTGACTTTTTTTCAGGTTTTAAATCATTTCAAAATATCTGTATTCAACGTTTTATGTTAAAAACAAAACATTATTTATGCATCTGTAACTGCAGGTTAAATGCATCCATGTCCCCTCTGAGATACATAAACTGTAAATACATCTAAATGCTATTTCAGATTCAGATTCCAGAAATGTTTTCTTATGTTGGAATGAAAGACACTAAGTACCGGATGAAGTGCTTCTTATTCTTACCCAAAAAATACAAAATGGAAGTAGAGTTAAAACCGAACACAATCTTGCTACTCAAGCGGTGTATGAAAATTTTTATATATATATATTTATTTGCTTATTTTCCATTTTGCATTTACTTGTACTTACACTTTCAATACTTAAGTACGTTTAAGATTTAAAAAATACTTTTCATACTTAACCCTCTACGGTACGGAATATGATATCAATGAGGAAAAAATATTTGTGATGTTTTTCCTACTTAAAATTGGACACTATAACAATATCAATACAAATTTTCATTATGTTTTTTTTTTTTAAAGTTTGTTGCCTCAAGGCAACACTACCACAATGGACAAATTTAAACATTTGACATTTTCATGCAGAAAAAATAAATATATTTATTGAAAACATAAATTTCTTTAACCAAACACTTGAACAAACAGATTTATCTAGATTTTACTGTATTGCACATCTCATATTTAATAAAAAATAACATTTCAAATCCAGCTGTTGCTCTCCGGCAACATTGTACCATCGTGGATCACAAGTATAACTAAACTATCATATCTGTTGTCATAGCAAAACATTATAATCAGTGTTGTTTCAAAGTAAAAAATGAAAAATAATCATAACCTTATCCTAATATGCACTTTGTCCTTGCAAGCATGCACATGCACACACAAGCACATGCATGCGAAATCTCCCACTTCACTAAAGACACCTCACTGCTTGTGAAAACTGAGGAAGCAATTCCTCTCAACAAACAAATCATAATATGTGCAGATATAGTATGAGAATTACTATTCTTGAAAATTAATTACAAAATCATGCAAAAATTCTAATACATTTAGATAATTCTAACTCTTTTCCTTACAAATATCATATACTTGTATTCTAACCTAGTATGCCTGCATGGCCTTATGCGATTCCATTGCGGTACAATGCTGCCTTGAGGCAACATGCAGTTTTTTTCCTATGCAATCATTTCCTATGATACATTTGATGAAATATTATGTAAAGTTTTTGAAAATACTTCACTTTCCAATGAAGGTGACTAAGATTTTTTGTAGGCAATTATATGCACGGAAATAGATGAAAAATGCACTTTTCATTGGACAAACGTGCACATGTCCTCGAAGTGGAAACAAAATGGACCCCTGTGGGTCATGTGACCACTTTTTTGTTTGCTCATTTATTAGTATTTGACTTCTACTTCCCTGAGACAGCATTGGTCAATTAAATGAGTCTCTCATTTTATTTAAAAAAAACAAAATATGTTGTGTTTCCTGGAGGCAACACGGTACCATAGAGGGTTAAGTACAATAAATATCACATACTTTAAGACTTTTACTCAAGTAATATTCTAAACGGTGACTTCAACTTCTACCGAAGTCATTTTCTGGTAAGATATCTGTACTTTTACTTGAGTATGGCTTTCAGGTACTTTATACACCACTGATTATATGCTATGCCTAACTATACAAAAACGCTAGTCTCTGAGATGTTCCCGTTCACACAATTTAAATAAATTTCTCCTGTGAATTGTCATTCACACTTGTGCAGACTGAAAATAATTTTGCCTAAAGGACAGACCCATCCAGCCACATGCGTGGAAGTCCCAATTATCTGCTTTTAATCTGTTTCTGGCAATTTAGAAAAATGTGAGATGAGTTTTTCCCCTAAACTCATCTCTCTTAACCTTACTAGTGTCAGTGCGTACAGCGGCACTCCTTTACTGTAGTACGCTGAGACATGACAGTTTTAAAAGTGCATTCAGCTTGAAGTTTAATGTGCAGTGATGTGAAAAAGCTGCTGATATTGAGGGTGTGTAGTGTTTTCACGGTCTTGTTGCTCACTGGAGCAACTGGAAGTAGGGTATTACAATTTACCTCTTACCACTGCTTTGAAAGGTTTGTAATGTAATAAATGTTACATATAGATGCTTGAAATAGTTAGCAATTAGACACGAGTACAGTACAGTTAATTGTGGTCACCTTAGTAACAAAGGATAAAAAGAGTATAGCTTTAGATGTGACTTCACTAGAGCCCATGGCTCAAAAGAGAGAAATGCATGTGAACTGTCTGCACACCCTGACGAATACAACCACTAATCCAAATTTCATATTTACTAATTTATGTATTGTCCTCAAAAGGAGTACAAAAGTAATGTTTTACTGAGTTTAACACTATTGTAGGGATGTTGACAAAACTGAAGTGTAAGAGCATGAGGATATAACATTAGATTATAACAAGATAACACGTACAATGATAAATACAACTAACGTTACTCGAGGAAGAAAAAAAAAGTGTTTTCAGAATTTTAGCTTTCCTTTAACTTTTACACAAACGCAGAACCTACAAATATAAATTGGGGGGGTTAAAATAAACTTCGTAGTTATATTTTGAAAGTTAGACTCTTTATGTGATAAAATGGGCGTCTGTGGCAGCTGAGAGCTTCATAATAAGCTCTACTTGGAGCTGGTGTACTTGGTGACGCCTTGGTGCCTCAGACACGGCGTGCTTGGCCAGCTCTCCGGGCAGCAGCAGACGCACGGCGGTCTGGATCTCTCTCGAGCTGATGGTGGAGCGCTTGTTGTAGTGAGCGAGACGAGACGACTCACCGGCGATGCGCTCGAAGATGTCGTTGACGAAAGAGTTCATGATGCCCATCGCCTTGGAGGAGATCCCGGTGTCAGGATGAACCTGCTTCAGCACTTTGTACACGTAGATAGCGTAGCTCTCCTTCCTGGACCTCCTGCGCTTCTTCCCTGCTTTACCCGCGATCTTAGTGACCGCTTTCTTTGAGCCCTTCTTGGGAGCAGACTTCGCTGGTTCAGAAATGTTGCCGTACGTCGTTTAACGCTAAATTCAGTAGCTCACGAGACGTGCACTGGACATTTATTCGACGCTCATGCTAATTTAAAAGGGCTGGATCCGCGCGCTCTCATTTGTTCATTCGTGAAATTAACGTAAGAAACTTATTTCATTGGTCATGACGACGAGCTGCTTGCGGGAACATCAGCCAATCGTATGCCTCGACGGTTTAGTCCCTCCTCTCGCCCCGCCCCCGAGTAACTTCCCCCAGAACTTTCAGCTTCTTTGTCTAACTTTCCCGCGCAAAATTACATTCTCGGTTAACGTTTGCATTAATGCGTCTTTTTACACACATTAAAGAAATTTATGGAACAACTACTCATTAACTGTATGAAGACTATATTTACGATCAAATCGATGACCTAAAAAAAATTTCAATTGCTCAAAGACCCCCTAAAACCACTTGCAATTTCAAGTTTATGAAAGACTTGTTACTGGTTTGAGTTTAGGACAAACTGAGCTGACCATGTGTCGATTCGCACATTTTAACAGTTCACAATTTTAATATCGTTATATTTAATATCTGTATTTAGTGGTTACAGAATATATTAAAACCAGAGCATATTGAAAGGCACGCTCTCTTATGAAAGTGTGGGTGGCTCTGAAAAGAGCCGCTGGGTTTATGAGTGCAGACATGTTTATCCTCCGAAGCCGTACAGAGTGCGTCCCTGTCGCTTCAGCGCGTACACCACGTCCATGGCGGTGACGGTCTTTCTCTTGGCGTGCTCGGTGTAAGTCACGGCGTCGCGGATCACGTTCTCCAGGAACACCTTCAGCACACCGCGGGTCTCCTCGTAGATCAGACCGGAGATGCGCTTGACGCCGCCGCGGCGCGCCAGACGACGGATGGCGGGTTTGGTGATGCCCTGGATGTTATCCCGCAGCACTTTACGGTGGCGCTTAGCGCCTCCTTTCCCGAGTCCTTTACCGCCTTTGCCTCGTCCAGACATGCTTGCAGTAGTAGTTTAAACTTAGTCTCACAAAAAGCCGAAACTGAACCTTCAGCCGCTGGAAGCGCAGCTTTACAGTTGCTCACAGGACCGAGTTGAAACATGTAAAGGCGGTGCCATGCGACGTCACAATAATGTACGGTTCTGCTGAAGTCCTGGACACTTTTATTGAAGTTATGATTTATGCATGGCTCGTTTTCCAGCTTCACAGATGATCATGTATTCGCTCTGTCGTACTGCAGTGAAAACACATGAATCTTTCGATTAGACTCATTAACACATTCTTTCTCTTAGCACCACACTTCACAACTCTGACCTCAAATCCTACACATATTTTTTATTATACAGATTTATTTACTTACATCTAGAGTTAATGTCTTTCCAAAGAGATCCATCTTTCCATCTCAAATCTTTAAAAGTAGCAGTAACAACACATCGAATCAACAACATATTAATACAATCTCTTAGACAACATCTGTCATGTGACATACTGGTTTGATTATTAATTTGCCATTTTCAAATTACAAGAAAACGTAACGTAACATTTTTATTTGAAATTAATTTTAAGTCTTTTTATCTCAATTTCATTGATGTATACTGTGGGTCGCCGTGATTTTGCCAAGTAAGACATGTTCCTGGATCAACATAGTCCAAAAATATAGACTAAACCCAATCCCTAAACCTAAACCTAACCCTACCCATAATTTATTCCTAAATCAGTGTGAAATGATAGCTGATTAACAAGAGTGTAGAAGCACCATGCCCCTGGTGAAATCAGGCTCACAGTATACTGTGTTTACTGTATACGACTGAACACATTTATCTTTATACACACACAACAAACAAGAAGACTATAAAAATGTATAAGTATCTTCAGAAGCTAGGTTTAAATTATTTATTATTATTATTATTGTTGTTATAAAAAAAACTAAATACGTTCACATGAACAATGAATTAGAGAGAGGCAGAAAGATGAGGGGTTTAAAATGTGGAGGGTCGTGCAGTGATTGGGTTTCAACTGTGATCGACTCTAACCAATAGACGAGGAGCACGCGCTGTTAAAAGCTGATTGTCAAGCTGCAGCGCTATTATCTCTGCAAAAGTTTGTAGAAGCAACCACTTCAAAAGCATTAAAATGAGCGGAAGAGGTAAAACCGGCGGTAAAGCCAGAGCGAAGGCTAAGACTCGCTCCTCCAGAGCAGGGCTGCAGTTCCCCGTCGGTCGTGTTCACAGGCTCCTCCGCAAGGGTAACTACGGCGAGCGCGTCGGTGCCGGTGCTCCGGTGTATCTGGCCGCTGTGCTCGAGTATCTGACGGCTGAGATTCTGGAGCTGGCTGGAAACGCCGCTCGAGACAACAAGAAGAGCCGTATCATCCCCCGTCACCTGCAGCTGGCGGTGCGCAACGACGAGGAGCTGAACAAACTCCTGGGCGGAGTGACCATCGCTCAGGGCGGCGTGCTGCCCAACATCCAGGCCGTGCTGCTGCCCAAGAAGACCGAGAAACCCGCCAAAACCAAATAAACAAGAATACACAAAACTCCCAAAGGCTCTTTTCAGAGCCACCCACTTTCTCGTGAGAGGGCGAATTAAAGAACATGAAGGTTTTTTAACCGTTTTCTGATCAGTAGTTGGGTGCACTGTAAAGCCGTTTTTTCTTAATGAATTTGGTGTGTCTTAGCATTAGATGTTAATGTTGATATGAACATATGGCACGAAATAATGTTTATTCATTTTTCTGAATATGTGCTCCGCATACAGTCCGTATTGAAGTTGGCAAACATTTTTGAGGTTTGAGGTTGGTCAACGTACTGCATCTTTGCATAAAACATTAAAACTTCACAAGCATCATGTTTGGTCAATGGTTTCCTGAAGTCTAATCGAAAGATTCATGTGTTTTCACTGCAGTACGACAGAGCGAATACATGATCATCTGTGAAGCTGGAAAACGAGTCATGCATAAATCATAACTTCAATAAAAGTGTCCAGGACTTCAGCAGAACCGTACATTATTGTGACGTCGCATGGCACCGCCTTTACATGTTTCAACTCGGTCCTGTGAGCAACTGTAAAGCTGCGCTTCCAGCGGTAAGTTTATTAAAGAAACGAAGTTAAGTAAAAGAATTTTAAAAAGTGTTTTTTTTTTGTATTATTCAAATCTGTTTATTTATTTATTTATTATTATTATTATTATTATTTTATTTTATTTATTTATTTATTTATTTATATATATATTTTTTTGTTATTTATTTTATTATTAATAACATGAATAATGTTTTTTTTTTTCTTCTTCTTCTCGCATTATGTCAATCCCATAAACACGTATTCTGTTCCACACTCCAGTCCAGTCGGTGGCGGTAATGCACCTACAAGTTGGTTTGCCAACCGCCAATAAACACCAAAGAAGAAGAAGAAGAGACATTCTCTTCACACTCCATCACAGTAGGTGGCGGTATGCACCTATGAAGTTGGTTCGCAACCCGCCATAAAACCAAAAGAAGAAGAAAGAAGAAAAAGAAGAAAAAGAAGAAAAAGCAGAAGAAGAAGAAGAAGAAATGTCCAGTGCACGTCTCGCGAGCTACTGAGTTTAGCATTAAACGACGTACAGCAACATGCCTGAACCAGCGAAGGCTGCTCCCAAGAAGGGCTCCAAGAAAGCCGCGGGTAAAGCAGGGAAGAAGCGCAGGAGGTCCAGGAAGGAGAGCTACGCTATCTACGTGTACAAAGTGCTGAAGCAGGTTCATCCTGACACCGGGATCTCCTCCAAGGCGATGGGCATCATGAACTCTTTCGTCAACGACATCTTCGAGCGCATCGCCGGTGAGTCGTCTCGTCTCGCTCACTACAACAAGCGCTCCACCATCACTTCCCGAGAGATCCAGACCGCCGTGCGTCTGCTGCTGCCCGGAGAGCTGGCCAAGCACGCCGTGTCTGAGGCACCAAGGCGTCACCAAGTACACCAGCTCCAAGTAGAGCTTATTATGAAGCTCTCAGCTGCCACAGACGCCCATTTTATCACATAAAGAGTCTCTAGTGTTGAAAATGTCTGCTTCATTATAACTAAGGTTGCCAAGCAAAGAGAATTTAGGGCCTTTTTGGGAAAAAAAAAAACAAACCTCAGGCTTCAGGACACCAATGGACACTTTGCTTTCTTTTAATGCCATTGGAGCTGAGAAGCCACCAGATTCAGATGTAGTTGAGAAATGTTAATATAAGTATCTAAAAACTACCAGGTTTATTATTTTAATTGTTTGCAACTGTTAAAACAATGGGGTCAAAGCTTCATGAACTAAAACATTTTGGTATGACTGGATCAGTTTCAGGTGTTAATGCTAAAATGGCATGGGGATCAGTGGGTTAAATCTGGGGCACTCTGATCTCTATGCTATGTTTGAGTGCCAAAAGTTGCCAAGAAGGCTATTCAAAAGGTCAGGAGCCATATCCTCCTGAGAACCAGGAATAAAAAGCTTTGTGAATTTAGTGGTTTTTTTCATGTCATTACATTGTTTAGACTAGAGCATAAGAAAAAAATGGTAACATTACATTTTGAAAAGTGATATTTTATTCCTATGTTATGCTGTGTCCTCTGTAGAGGACACCAGGACTCAGTTTTTCTAAAAAATCAAATGAGAAGAATAGGCATGAAAAGACAAAAACGAGATTTTTTTTTTTAATCAATCAATTTTTAGGTTTCAGAATGTTTTATACCAAACTTTAAGGATGGTTCTGAACTATGTTATAAAATATATAAAATTATTTGATATACCATTTTGCTTTATGCAATGTGTGTAAAAATTCCATAAACTGGTTTTCCCATTAAGCACAATGTTATCTATACACGGTATCTAATTTGCATATTAAAGTGCTGTTGGGACAGCATGTTGAAAAAATAAGTGTAATGGGAGTAGTAATTGGCCAAATTTTCATAATATCTAATATTTCATAAGTATATTGTTATATAATTTGTTTTCCTATTCAATTATTTTTTTCTCCCAAACTGCATAATAAACATGCTTTAAGTCCTGGTGTCCTCTACAGTGGACATGTATGAAAGGATGTCCTGTTTCATAACAGGAAGTCATATTTTGATTTGAAGCCCCATAACATTTTCCTGAGATGTTGATTTATGACAAACAATTTGAAAATTAATCAGATTTAAATTATAATCACAAAATATTATATTTCGATAAGGATGTACAATTTTATCACTAAATTAATGTCAGCCATTTTTAAAGACCAAGGAGAGGGAGTGGTCACGGTGAAACATCCAATCATTTGGCATCTCTGGAAAGCCCTGAATCCTGAATGTGCTCTGTACAGGACATCCAGACTTACAACTGTGACATGTGAGGTCTCAGAGAAATGCACTAAAATACAATGTCCTCTACAGAGGCAAAAACACAATAGCTGCTACATGCTTTATCTATGTTTGTATTTAATAAACTGGGCTCACACAATATCACATTTAATAAAAATAATACATGATGAGAGAAATGCACATTTAAAATCAGAATGCAGAGCAGCGGCAAAGATGTGATGATGGTAAACTCACTCAAAACAGTGAAGACATTAAATGACACGAATACATCAAATATTTGCTTTTTTTGTGAATAGAAAAATCCACACACTTAGTTTTATTCTTTAAGTTTTCAAATGCATATTAAATAATTGGTTAAGATAACAAAATTACATTCTATAAAGCATATAAAAGCACTTCTATACACTGATGAAAATGTCAGAACACAAAATCATATTGCTGTGACGTCCCCTGACCAACAAAAGTGCCTTTGAGAACAATAAACCTCCCTCTAAAATACTCACATTTTCTCTTTTGGTGATTATACAAAAGAGGCATTCGTAGACATACTTATTTAATTGAAATATTCCTTCATTCCTTTTTTATGAATTAAAACTCTTCTCTCTTTTAACGAGAAATGGTACATTGTGGCATCCAAAACAATATTAAAATGCATTTGCGTCAAACAGGTTAATATTAAATAAAAGGCAGCACCTTCTAAGATCAGCCTCTGTCTTAAAGTTTTCCTCGGCGAGAAAGTTAATATATATACTTTTTATATATATTAGGTATAAGCTGTTTAGGGAACACTCACTTGGAAGGGACTTCCTGGTACAGATTCATCCCCCCATTTGACAATAACAACATAGTTTCCTTTCTCCTTCACTGTGTAGGTTACATTGTAAAGCTTATTTCCCATGTGTTTAACAGCCACATCTTCACATGGTGTTCTGGGACCATGGACACCAACCATTAGCATGTTTGTACCTGAAAGGAGACAAAAAAGCTAAATAAATATCCCGTATAATTCTGTAGTTTGTTAGTGCTAAACCATTATTGGTTTTATTTTACCTGCTGTACTACAGTCAACGGAAAAAGTGTTCTTCTGACCCACGAAGGCTTTGGAGAGGCCGGCACCATGACATACAACCTTACTGGCATCTGAGGTTGACTTGGAGCTGGACAGAGAGCTGAAAGCTCCTGCCATCTTAGAGGTTTTGGTAACCGTCTCCACAATGACTGATGAAGTTTCATGTAGACTGTGGCCCCCAGACAGACGCATACCTGCAGCAAGAGACAGACGTGTTAACATCCACAGTCAGAACTCTCGAAGCCATTGCACAAATATTATACCTGAAAAAAAATACACTGGAAGTCTCATGATTTAGTTGGGGCAAAATTGTTCCTGGTTAAATACAGCCTAAACTCATAACATTGATTTACAACAAAAACGCAAAATTCAGCAAACATTCCTTTACATCAAAGCAGGAAGTGTTTATCCTACCTGTAACCTTTGCTTTGAAGGGACTGCCAACGATATGCTGTGGCCCACCATATTTGATGCATATAAGGTAGTTTCCTGGTGCCATCGGTGTATAAGAGACTTTATAACCTTCTGAGCACTCAGTGCAGTCCATTTTGACCTTTGAGGGACCATCAATAGTAACAGATAAGGCACTTGAACCAGCCTTGCATGTGTTAACGACAAACTCAGAGGGGACCCCTACAGAACAATAAGAACACAAGATTACAGTTGGATCTGCTAGTGATGTATAACTAAGTAAGAAAATCTGCAGCAACTTTATACTAAATCCTGCATAACGGTGGACCAGTACCTGTGCGTCCACCCTCAAGTCCTGGGCCAAAGGCAGTCACCATTCCTGGATCCCCAACGCTTTCTGCTTCTCCAACACGTACTTTGAATGGGCTTCCTGGTATATGGCTTCCATTGAACTTCACATCAATGGAATGAACACCATTCTCACGTGGAATGAAGCAAATTACATTCTTGTCTATGAAAAGGAGGGAATCATAATGTTAGAACAACTAAGTGTTGCCTATTCAATGAAAGTTACATTTCTGGTAAAACCATCTGCCATATAACCAGTGTTCTTAGGACAGAAATCAAGTCTACAACTCACCACTATCCAGTTCAGTCACATAACACTCCTCTACTACACCAGAGGGGGCGTGAACTTTTGCATCAATGGCACCTCTCGCCCCATTCCTCTGAACCGCAAACGAGGCTTCCTGATTAATCTTCAAATCCTTCTCCTGCACGTGAAAAGAGGAATGAAAGTTTGATTTCCGACACAAACGCACAGCAATGCATTCATGCCGACAGACAAGAGAGATTGACAGATAGGCAGATAAATAG